TTTTTTTGGTTTTTCTCCGGTACCGGGAACCGAACTCACGACCTTGCACTTGCCAGGCAGGCGCTTTGCTGCTGAGCTAAATCCCCAGCCCCCTATGACTTTATTTTTTAAAAAGCTTTGATAAGAAACTGAGGGAATAACTCAGCGGTAGAGCATTTGTCTAGCATTCATAAGACTTGGTTTAATCCCCAGCAACACACATACAGACACACAAACACAAACACTAGCTTTAAGATTTCTGCAATAACGATTCCATTTAAAGTAATCAAGGAACTGGGATTAATTGTTTAAATCACCTTAATAGATAGATTATAATAAAATAGGTTAGAAGTTAAAGAAAATAAGAGTAGAGCTACAAAGACACTTTCCTTTTTTTTTTTTTTCTGTTTTCTTTTGAGACAGTCTCACCATGTAGTTCAGACTAGCCTTGAATTCATTATGTAGCCTATGCTGGACTTGTACTTGAGGCTGTCCTCCTACCTCAACCTCGTGAGTGCTGGGATTACAGATGTGCACCACCCCACCCAGCCAAAGATATACTTTTCTGCAAGTATATAAAGATTGGTATTAAATGCCCAATGTAGTAGGCTACATAGCCCAGGCTACGTAGTAAGTGCCAGCCTGCACTACATAGTGAGACCATGTCTCAAAAAAAAAAAATAAATTAATTTTAAATTTGCAAAACTTGTAATATGGGGTAAAATATCCATGTTTACAGGTGTGTTTGATTTTTTAAAAGTAATTTCTTCTAGGATAATGAAAAATCAAGTATAGGAATGAAGATCATTTCTAATTGTGTATTTAAAAATTCTTCTAAGTAAATTTCATATAAATAAAGGTATTAACATTTGTAAGTCAGTGATTCTGAATGGGGGTGCAGAGTGGGGAGAAGAAAAGTGCTTTCCAGAGATAAACATATCAGACCTGGGAGGAAGCAAGACTTTCAAATTTTTACTTTCTGAAATTTTGATTTTCTGTCATGCTCTCCATTCCACCCCGAAAATCACTGCTTAAATGCAACACTGAGAAGTGTGTTGAAAATCTCATTTGGGAAGAAATAATTCAAACTACGTACATGAAGTTGGTCTTTAAGCTATGTAATATGATATAGGAAAAGGGCTCTATTGACATTACATTAGTCATTCTCTAAGGACCTTAACCCATTGTACCACTGTGACCAGAGGGGCCATACAGTGTTGGATGACCTAACATTAACACAGGGCCAGACACACAGTATCAAAATCTTCTCCATCTGCTCTCTGTAAAAGCATCACAACTGGGGATGGTGGCCCATACCTATAATCCCAGCTACATAGGAAGCTAAGGCAGGAAGATCACAAATTCCAGGTTAGTCTAGGAAATTTGGCAAGATCCTGTTTCATAAAAGGGCTGAGGAGGTAGCCCAAGGGTAGAGTCATTGCCTAGCATGAGCAGTACCCTAGTTCAATTCCCAGTACTGGGGGAAAAAAGAAAAATAAAAGGTATCATAGAAATCTGAAACTTGTTCCCAACAATTAAGAACCAGTAGTATAACCTAGGAGTGGTGGCACATGGCTATCATCCCAAGTACTCTGGAAAGCAGAGGCAGAAGCATCACAAGTCTGTGCCCAACCTGGGCAACTTCATGTCTTAGTAAGACCCTGCCTGCCTCAAATTTTTTAAAAAAACCAGAAATGTACTAAGTGTGAAGACCTTGGCCTCAGTCCCCAATCTCACACACACACACACACACACACACACGCACACACACGAGATAGAGACAGTTAATGGTGGATCTAGGCCTCAGATTTCTAAATTCCAATCTAATGCTCTAAATTACTACTTCGGAAACCATTAATCCCTATTTTTAGTATTCAGGGTTTTCTCTAATGTGCATGTCTGATCACTACAACTTTTTTAAAAATGTAATAAAGCCATGAAACTGTCCAAAGAGAAACAAATGAGATAGAAGAACAAAGGACACATTCTCATTTATTTATATCCCAACTTTATTCCAAAAAGCTTACAAAGATACAGATAATATAGAATATAAAAAAGATTAAAACAGAAAAAAAGGAAAATAAAGGTAGAAAAGAAAGATGGAACCAAAAATATGACAGGCATATAAAATATATAAACATTTCCTAAAAGTGAGCTACAAATTGGGCTACAAGTGGTCTAGCATTAGTACAAGGAGAAAAATATAATCAACTGAAAATTTAGTGTCTTTCAGGTAAAAATCAAACAGCAGTTTAAGAAAAGCACAACTAGGTTCAGAGAAAATTTCTCTTATACATCCTAAATTGAACATTATGAGCTGTAGCGATAAACAACTTTTTAAAAGTAACAAGTTTCACAGGGATTGCCAAAGTGCAATCTGGTTTAGTCTAAAGACAGCATAATAAACTGATATAGGATACTCTCCAGACTCTCTTTGGTCTGGAAAGAGAGACCCTCAGATATAACTAAAGAATAATATGGTCTAGATTAAAGTATATTTTTTCCTCAAATATCAACAAAAATGAAACTTTTGAGACATTAAAGAAAATGAAAAATCATACAAGAAATGTGTATTACCAAAAAAAGGTGCATAAATTCATGGTCCAGATAATTTTCCTTACATAAAAAGAAAAAGTTCTTAAAGTACAGCTCTAATCTTAAATCTTAAGGTTAAAGTCATGCCTCTCAATCTGATTTGCCCAACTAAAAAACTGAATACTGGGCTGTCTAGAAATCGTCAACTTAAAAATTCTTGTCTTCCGAGACTTCATTCTGGAAAAGATTTAGATAGCTGTTCCATTTATCCCTAGAGAAGACATTTTATCTACAGATATTTCAGTTTCTATTTTCTTCCTCATATTAGACTATTAGATTCACTTTCTGATTTTTAAAAATTAGGTTTATTTCAGCCTGTCCTCAAACATCCAGATCATATTTTTTGCATGCATATTTATTTAGGTGTTGAAATACCAGCTTTTGATACTTCTGGCATGGTTCTTTCTTATTTTTATTTATTTACTTTTGGACACAGGGTCTTGCTATGTAGTTCAGGCTGGCTTTGAACTCACTATGTAGCCCAGGCTGGCCTTGAACTCACAGCAATCCTCCTGCCTCAGCCTCCTGAGTGCTAAGATTACTGGTATGTGCTACCACACCCAGCTTGAGACCTTTGAAAAATAATCACATTGTTTATGACCATCCTTTTAAACATATGAATAGCACCTTAGGAACTCATGATGCGTCACTACTGCCCAAGAGAGGAAACATGGCAGAGAAACAAGGAGAGGCAAAAGCTTGTAGACGACAGCTTCAGGGTATGCACCAGAGAAGTGAAGCAAAGGAAAAGGTTACCTAGAAGAATTGAATGGTAAAGGGCTACAAAGTAAAAACTAGATAATCAAGCTGGTCATACTGAGTCAGTGAGGGAGATCCTCAAGATCCCAGCTCAGCCCCAGTGATCCTCTCTCTACAGTAGAGAGGGTCAAGCAGGGACAGAATGGACAAGGAAGGGCTCCAGGTCACAGTCAAAGTCTTCGAAGGCCATGGAATCCAATGGACTGGGCCGGGTATCTTGTGTCTCCAGGACAAAGCTCACTGGCTGCTTCTGTAGGAGCTCTGGGTCAAAGACCACACCCCGAAAAAAAGGGTGGACCTGGAAGTGATGCCGATAACGTAGACGGTGGAGGGGGTTTTGGCATAAGAGCTGAAGGGAAACAGAATATAAAGGATGAGAGACTGAGATAGGAAAGAGGCTAAACAAAAAAGATGAAAAGAAAGAAGTGCATGGAGCTGTTGAAGGCAGGAAAAAGGAGCCTAAAGAGTAAAGGATTTGTAAAAGAGGGAGAAACAGGAAACTTGAGGCAAAGGTGGAAATAAAGGCTCTGTATTTGTAAGTTTTCTGGTTTTGCAACACTGGTCCACTTTCTCAGAAAGGACCTATACCTTCTGGATGAGCAAGAGAGTTGAGAGACCCAGGATTGAAGAATGTAATCCAAAGTACTGGTTAGAGGGCAAATAGCTGGTTAACCTGGAGCACCCCACAAATATCCCCCTCCAAAAAATTAACTAGAGGAATAGGGAAACATCACTTCAATGATAAGGAAAAGAATAGTCTGGCAGCCTAGAAGGAAAGTAGTGCTCACCCTTACCTCCTGAAGCAGGAGTGAGAACTCCTTTTTAAGAGAAGCTGGGATCTCAGACTCACAGTGTGTCACACTTGCCAACATGGCCACATGATCGCTCTCTGCAGCCACTGGGAACTGAATTAAGGGGTAAGAATAAGGTGAGATTTCCTAACATCTTCCTTCCCACCAGATGACAAAGCTCTCTTCTTTACCTAATAGCACTAACATTTTCTCACCTTCCCAGTTGCCAGAGAGAAAAGCACGACACCCAAGGACCACCAATCAGCAGCATGGTTGTAAGGGCCACCACTCAAGACCTCTGGGGCTATAGATTTGAAAGATCCTTGTCACTGACATCCTTTGACTATCCTCCAACTCAGTGTACACCCACCAGTGTTAGCTTCTCTCTCACCCATGTATTGAAGAGTGCCACAGATAGTATAGGCTCGGGCTCCCTGGGGCAGGTAGCGGGACAGACCGAAGTCTGTCAGTTTCAGATGGCCTATGAAAGAAGACAGGGCAGTGGTACCACTCCATTCCATCTTTATCAGCCATGCTTTATTCCCGAACTGAGGAACCTCTCATTCTGGTGCTATAAAAAGAAAGACTTACCTCGTTCATCCAGAAGAACATTCTCCATCTGAAAGATGACAGGTAAGAAGTTACTTTTTTTCTCTTCTTTTTAACTGTCTTTCACTGTGTATACCCCCCAGCTGAAGAAGGTATTCTACTCAGCATTCAAATCTATCCTCGGAGGGCCTTTACCTAACCCACAGAGGCCATAAAAGCAACGGTTTTTAGCTCCCTCCTGCCTTCTTGGACCTGTTGGAACTTCTTATTGAGGCTCCTCCTCAGACTAAGGGCAAAAGCACTTTACCTTCACATCTCGATGGATGATGCCCAAGTCATGGAGATAGCCTGTGGGTGACAGCAAGCACAGAAATATACTGAAGCTTTTCTCTCCAGGTTCCCTGGTAGCTACTATCCCATCCTTAACCCTATTCTTTGATTTCCAGAGTTACCACCAATTCTCTTCTAGTCTCTCCACCAACTTTATTCTTCCCTTCCCATTTCCTATACTACCTTTGACTTACACAGCACAAGGACCAGCTCAGCTGCAAAGAGACGGACAGAAGCCTCAGGAAAGCAGCCAACAGCAGACCACAGGGAATACAGATCTTTGCTGCAGTAGCTACACACTGCAAAACACCAGAAGTGTAGGCACTGTGTGGGGACAATGCCTGGGCTCAAAATGATGCTTTTTTTTTTTTTTTTTTTTTTAACTGGGAATCGAACTCAGGACCTTATGCTTGCCAGGCAGGCACTTATGCCACTGAGCTATATCCCCGGTCAATGATGCCACTTTCTGATCCCTCTCCCTTTAGGATGGAGTGGTGTTATGAGACGGGGAACAGAGCAAAGACAGAATAATCTTTCAAATCTATAATAAGCCCAGGGATATGTAATCTCAGGTCATAAGAATGGTAAATGGACCCTCGTGCAAGAAGAGAACAACCAGTCACTTACTAATAAAGAGGTGCCGTTTTCCCTGCCAGGTGTCTCCCAAGCTATGTACAAAAGGATGGTTGATTTGTCGCTAGGGACAAAGAATACAAGGAGTTAGAACAGGGTCACTGAGGATAAAGGCAGTGGAAAAAAATCAGGTTTTACCTACGTGTGGAGAAATGCAGCTGCTGCTTTAGCTGCTGGGTTCAGAAGAACTAACTGCTACTGTCTGCCTGGTAGTCTTGATATCAGCTTAACACTAACACACCGGGACATGTGTTGGGAGATATTTCCCTAGTATGACCTGGAATAACTATTGATAATTAATAGCAACTTTTCCTATTCTTCCCACCATCCTTTCTACAGCTCTGTACATACCTGGATGCTAACTTCCTCTTTGCACTGCCTCAGTGTGTCCTTTTGTAGGACTTTCACCTTGGATACCACCTATAAAATAAGAGGAACAATGGCTCAGAGGAGAATAGTGCTACTGAATTTTTTACTCTTAACTTCCCAGGAGTTCTCTTAGAATCAGGAACTAGAGAGTAATGCAGAGGAGTACCTAGAGTCCTACCTTGACTGCAAATACAGCTTTCTGAGCACAATCTAGCACCTTCAGGACAGTTCCAAAAGACCCTTTAGCCACTAGGCCTAAAATCTGTATTGAGAAATGGAGAACAGCAATTAAGACTGGTTATTCCTAGGTTTCTCCTCAAAGACAGAGCCCTCCCACGGATTCCATTAACTTACCTTCAGCTGCTGCTGCCCCCTAATGGGCCTTATGGGAAACTCTGGTAGAAAGAGGTCGATGAACTGAGGTACAGGCCACTCAGACAGAGGCTTCTCTAGGGTCTCCTGGTGCAGGCACTGATGCCCCTGTAGTTCCCAGAGTTCTTCCAGACCTGATCTCATGGACCCCACACCTGACCAGAGGCTCTTCCAGCCTCGGACCCAGGGGACCTGGATGTTGCCACCCTGAGAAGCAAGGGAGCCACTCTAAACCTAGCCCTGAAGCATTATTGGTTATACCCATGTTTGTAGGTACTCCCTCCCCTCATACCTCAGCCACTGAAGGTACAGTTTTGAGTACTAGGCCTAGCTTCCTACTAGCCTCGCTTTGTGATAAGACCTGGATTTCCTAGACATAATCCAAATCCTCTGGGAAAGCATTAGACACTTTCTCCATAATGTACTAAGAATACAATCTCAGAATAGTGTTGCAATGGTTTAAAGTTATATGCCCTCTCTGGTGCGCGCGCGCGCGCACACACACACACACCCCGTCACTGACTGCTCCTAACACACACACACACACACACACACACACACACACACCCGTCACTGACTGCTCCTAACCAGTTATTTCCTAAGCCCCCGGCTCATGCTTCACTTTCCCTCAACAGGCTGCTACAGCCCTATAGCCTACCTTACGAGAAGCAGCCACCCGGGTTTGTTGCCCTTGCCGACAGCTCACTCCTCCCATCCCGAGTCTCTCTGCCTCCTCTGTCCTTCCACTAAATCTGTTGTCCTAGTTACATAAGTGATTCCTCTCCCCACTGCTGCATTGTACATAAGCCCCACCTCTTCCAATATGCACAGACCCATCAGCTGTGGGCCGATGTCTTACTAGGGCTGGACAGTATCTGTGATACAGTTTTAAGGCAAGGAAAGAGGCTACCCTCATTAAGAGTTAGAGTAGCAGTTACAGGATATGTAGAGGCAATGGGGTTGGGAAGGACACAGGTTGAACGCATGTACTCAAGTTAAAAAAAACAAATGTCAAATTTAAAATATTTTTTTTCTTTAAATCTTTTTTTCCCACCATCCAGGGCACACCCCAGGGGGAAGAGTAGGGGACCCATGGCCAGCCCTGGTTCCTATAGCCATCCTCCCAAGTAGGCATACAGACTGGGAAAAAGCTGATTCCCCAGAACAATGAACTTTCATACAAGGCAGTGGAATGAGAGACAGAGGATCATTCCCCTCCCCTCAGTTTCCTGGCACAAAGGAAGAACAGTTACACTTAGAAATATATATATATATATAGATGTATGTATATGTTTTATATATATATATATCTATTTATAAAAATTTATCACACTTGATCAGAACTATTCCCCCACCCTTTCAGCTGACCCCACAGGAACAGGATCCCAGGCCCTGGGCCCATTCCCTGGGTCTTGCTCTCATTGCCTCTCTGGCCCTGGGCCTGATCAGCACAAGATGGAACTCAGCACTACTGTCCACCGTGCTCCATGGAGAATAAGCCAGCTGCTAAACAGTAGTGCCTTGCTCCACATTACCTGTGGGCTCCATACCCCCACAAATCCTGTAGGTAAAGGGAAGCCCCTCCCACTCCACAAGTCCCAGGGGCCTGAGTCAGAGTCAAATCCTCTACTGCAGCCACTCAAATTGCCAGATCACTTTCGCCTGCCAAAGATGGACTTCTTGCCAGGGTTCTTGTCACCCACACTTAAACCGATGAGGAGGCGAGCTTTCTCCTCTTCTTCTTGCTGTTGCATGTTCAGGTCTGATTTAGCTTCTAGCTTTCCCCGAACCTCAGACCCTGCTGCAGGCTTCAACCTTAACTTTTCTTTGATTACCTGGCAGGATGGAGAAGAGTAAAGGAAAAATAAATATTAGACAGGCAGAATATGTAAAAATGAGCCAAGTCAACAAAGATTTATTAAACTTACATGCAAGATACAATGGGGCAATTCAAACTATGCAATGGTCTGCTTTCAAGAAGCTTACAGTCTAATTAGAACCTGCTCTAACCCTGAGGTGGTAGCACCCCTCATTAGTTCCCTAAAGTTAGTGGCAGTTAATGTACATGAAACATTAGTAAATATTCAATTTAGTAATCTGGGGAGTTGTGGAGAAGGCAGGGAACAGAAGTCACTCACTTCATTTACCTGCCCCTTCCCACGGCTATCTGTTAATATTTCCTAGAACAAAAGGCTCTCCTGAGCAGAGGATCTGCTTGCCAGCCCTTGCTAACCAAACAGCCGTGAGCCCTGGTGGAATACCTGGGCAACCAGGGCTTTGCGGCTGTCTCTTTTGACAGCCATAGCAAAGTCCAGCCATGTCCATGTGTTATTGTGATACTCCAAACATGGCAGCACCAAATTAAGGTCACCCCAGTCCACACTGTTCTTTTCACCCTGTAAAAGAAGCGTGAGGGGAGAGAAGAGGGGAAAAAAATACATTAACCGCTATTTTGAGCCTAAACCTGTACCCAAATAAAGTCTTGCAACAGCAACCTATACTGATTTCCCCTTAACTCAATCTCGTAATGGCTCACTCCTCCAGAGAGCAGAAGGGACAGCAGATTTGTCACCCATAGCACAGCTTTACAAGAAGCTTGGCTGTCTCCCTGGTTACAACCTCTGCTGATCTTATCTGGTTCCCTTCCCACCCTGTTCTAGAAAATGCTGGGGAGATGCAGACCTTATAGCTGACACACAGTGGAACCTGTGGAATCTTTATGTAGATGAAGGAGTTGTTCATGGCAGCTCGCTCTTTCATCTTGTCAATATCATCCACAGGATGCTGGAAGGCATAAAAGTAGCATGAGCCCCTGAAACTATTCAGAGAAATGCAACTTAGTGCCCTCTCCTTTCAACCCTAGAGGAGACTCAGAAAACTTAAATCCAAGCCAGGCCCAACCTCAAGATTCTCCCACTTTAGTTATCAGAAGCATTTGTGATACCTCAGGTGATTTGCGAAATGACCTTCTGACGGCAGAACTCCGAGTCAAGCCCTGTGCAACACCCTTCCCCGGGCCCAGCTGCACAGCATCATCTGCTGTAATCAGCTGCCGAGGCTTCACCACTGGTATTCCTATGAAAAAGCAAGAGCACCAACTGTTACCCTCTTTCTGATCTTTTGGTTGCCTCTGGGGCTACCACCCCATCTTCTGGTACCCTATCAGGAAAGTTCTCACCAGTAGTTACCAGTTTAGACTTATCCTCTTCATCACCAACTTCATCATCTTCTACACTTCGGCCAGGAAAAAAAAAACCCATCATTCTATGGAAGAACTGGTGTGTCAGCTGGATGGTGAGAGGCACCACATTTACCTAAATGTGGAAGAAGGTTGTAGAAGCAATTATGTTCAGACACTAGGCCTCAGTTTTCTACTCCTATTTGGCATTTACATATAGCTAGCTTTGGGCTGCCCTTTGTTCCTGGGTTCCCAAGGGATTATTTACTAACCTCAAAGTGTTCCTTAACAGAGATACCCCCAACAGGGGGACGGACTTTGCTGAAGAGGCGAAGGGCTAGCTGTCTCCCAGACTGGCAAGAGCTTTGGGGCCGCAAGACTACCTGTAGGATAGAGTGAATAAGAGCCCACCAAATGTTCTCCATACCATAAAACCAACCCAGAAATCCTCTGCAGTATACCCATGAGAAACACTGGGATAGAGGGTATGCTGATTGTATGAGATTAAAAGAGATGTCAGAGGTGGTGATTAGCATATAATGAACCTGAAAACAAACAGGATATGTAGCAGTTGTCTGGGAGGCTTCTGAAAAGGCTTATTATAGTGGATGGGAAGGAAGTAGAATAAGAGATTAACAGGAAAAGCCATGATCTTGGTAAGGTGGGCAACCTTCCATCTCAGATCACATTTCCTGTAGTACACTTATATGGAAGGGACATTTTAAATGTTGTGTGCTAAGAGGCATAGGAATGACAAAATAAGACTTGTCTTGTAGGGCTGGGGGATGGAGCTTAGTATGCAGAGTACTCATCTAGCGTACACAATAACCTGGATTCAATTCCCAGGACCACAAAAAGCAAAAAAAAAAAACAAAAAGGGGGGAAGACTTGCCTTATAGACAGCATTGGGGAGGAGGTTGTTCATAGTGAACCATCCCAACTCCAGAAGATGTTCTGCAGTGTCATCAGACTTATTCACCTGTAAAGACAGATTGTGCTCTGCTCCCATCCACTATAATAAGCTTTTTCAGAAGCCTGCCAGACAACTGCTACACATCCTGTTTGCTTTCTGGTTCACTATATGCTAATCAAAATCTCTGACATCTCTTTTAATCACATACAATCAACATACCCTCTATCCCAGTGTTTCTCATGGGTACTACTGGCCAGGGCACTAAATACTAGTAGTAATTCTAGTTATTGTGACATTAAAAAATACTCTCATTCAATTCCAAACACAGCTTGTCAGAAAGAAACAAATAATGTCATCTTTCCATTATCAGTGGGTAACTGCAAAAGCTGAGTGTCAGTGTCAGAATGGCTCTATTCTAAGGTGGACTTGGAAAATTACTTCCCTTTGGGAATTACTTTTAGGAATAATCTTAAAGCAAGAAACATTTGATCAAACTCACCTATTTATATTGTTTAATATTATAAACACCTGTCTAAGAGAGTCTAAGTTTCTTTTTTTTTTTTTTTGGAGACAGGGTCTCATTATGCAATTCAGGCTGGCCTTGAGCTCACTTTGTAGCCCAGGCTGGTCTCGAACCTGCAACAATCTTCCTGCCTCAGCCTCCCAAGTGCTGGGATTACAGGAATGCACCACCACGTTCGGAGAGAGTCTAATGTTTCTAATCATGACCATTAATAATTATTATGGCTTGTATTTCGATGTTCCAAGAGCCTCATATGCTCATAGGCTGGGCTTCTGGAAGGTGTCTGGATGATGGGGACACTACAGTTGACACACTGTGTGAAGGCCTGGTAGGAGCAGGAAGGTCAGTGGAGCCAATGACCTGGCACGGTATATCTCTGCCCCACGATTTGTCCTTCCTTCTGTGCTTCCAGGCCACCATGCGGCCACTAGACCCTTCCATCTTGAAGTTTCTATATTTGAGCTTGTTGAACATGGACTTTTAAAACACAAGCCAAAACAAACCTCTGCTGCTTTAAGTTGTAGGTGTTGTGTATTGTCTCTCGATGACAAGAAAGTGCTTAAGACAACAATCATGTAATAATTAGTCTTTTTTCTCTTTGTGAATTGGATTCCTGAGACAGGTCAATGTCGAAATATAGTTGTTTCTGTACAACTGTCTATCCCAGATACCTTGCTATAAAGAAACCTTTGCAGTTCCAGTTCAGCAATTCCCAGCTGTCCATCTTCCTCTGTCAGGCGCCATCGAGCCTGAGCAAAGTAAAATTCAGTGCGACGGACCACACTCACATCTTCTTGCTGCTTCCGCAGCTCCATCTTGTTAGCCCGCTGCAGCTGGAAATCCTTAAAACACCTACAAGTGGATAGGAGAGCTGAAGTCAGTAAGGGAAACAGCATGCAAACTGAGGGTGGGATGAGGTGTTCTAGAATGATGAAGGTGGCAAATTTAGCAATGAACCTATTCTGGATTAGCTAATCCCTGTAATTTTTTTTCACTCAATTTACTGTCTAACACTGACCTATGGGAACACAAAGTTCATCTTTCAGCTCTATAGCTTCTTGATAAAGTAGTCTCTTCTCACTAATAACCCCTATCTGTGTATCTACATTTGTGTTCCTTCCTGATCAACTTCCAGATATTGTCAGTTCAGACGGGTAAGGCCATAAGTGATTTTTCCCAACTACCCATTTTTCTTGCAGCACAGCCTTTCCCAGGAAGTATTCTACTAAGGACTCAGGAGAAGGACTCTCCTGTTTTTTACCTCTTTGACCAATTTGAGCTGAGCATGCATAGTGACATACATCTG